ATTATGTATAGTATTCTTTTTCTGAAATCAAGTTTTTATTCTAACCTTGTCTTTCCCTTTAAGTCCTCTCATGTTGTCAAGATTTGCCAAACACATATGTGCTTCTTGTTGGCAATTAGATAAAAAAGAGCTTGATCATCCAGAGTGTTCATCGGCATGTCCTCACACATCTGGTTGACTATCAAATGGTCTTTGGTCCAATAGTTATTTTCATGGTAATGGAATAATTGATCTGTTTCTTCCTAGTTTTTGTCTAAATCCTCCTCATAGAGATGAGAAGAATAGTATTTCTTGTTTTTGTAAACATTCTTCCAAATGTGAAGTTTGTTCTTCAGTAAAGGTTAATTTGACGCAGTCTTCCTTGACAAGGTTAAAATTCATAATGAAGTTATCGTTTCAGGTAAATTCAATTATGCAGGTTGTAAAATTCCAGTTAATGAAAAAATTGATACTCAGTTTATGAGAAGAATGTTGCAGGGTTATAATGACTTATTAGTCTGTGACTTATTGAAATTTGGTTTCCCAATTGAATTGAATCAAGATGATAGTTCTAAATTATTTTCTTTTCAAACACCAATTGTTAAAAATCATTCAGGGGCAAAGAATTTTCCTAAAGACATATTTTTCAAAAGGAAGCTTTACATGAAGCCATAATTGGTACCATTAGTGATTGATCCTATTCAGACGGAATGTATTCAACCTTTGACCAGCTGCCAAAAATTTAAGTCCTATATAAACGCCGATTATTTGATTTAAGTTCTAAGAATGGCAATGGCGAGAAATATAACTTGTTCTAAGATGAGTATTCCGGGCGAGAAACAATAGATTCACATATGTCATAAATTGATGGAAATTTTTGCGCTTTAATAAGCTAAAGGCAGGGTGTTAATGTATAATTAGACTTACTCGGGGCTATGACAAATGTTGATTGCCGCATCCAGTACAATTTTTGCTTCTCTTGGAAGGTAACACACATTTTTTTTTGACCACTGTTCTTTCTATGGATCCTGCTCATATATGCCCAAAGGGGTACAACCTGCGTTTTGCTTATGATGTATTAATTGGTTAATTTCTGTACATTAGAATTACTTTGCCAAAAGATGATTTTGGTGGTGCTGAGAATAAGGAAGATGCCTTTTTTGCCTTTTCTCTCTCCTTAGGAGTTTGTTGTTTAAAAGTGGTATTGAGGAAGCTTTCGATAAAGCTTGTCCCCCTCTGAGATTATGGTATTTTTAGGGGTTTTATTTAATAGTAGGAAGATGACTATGGAAGTGACAGAAAAGAGACTTGAGGAAATCAGATTATTGGTAGATATTTGGTTACAAAAAGTACAGCTTCATTAAAAGAAATTCAGAAGTTGTTAGGTAAACTTAATTTCGTTGGAGCATGTGTAAAGTCTAGCAGAGTTTTCATAAACCGTATTTTAAACTGGTTAAGAGATTGTTATGCTAGTAATGAAAGTCACTCTGCTAATCATATGATCCCCAAGAGGTCAAGAAAGATTTACTTTGGTGGTCTAGATTTCTTCCTTTGTATAATGGCATTTCTATAATGACTATGGAGAATGGTCACTAGTGGATGAGGTTTTTCAGTTCTGACAGCTGCTTAACGGTTGCGGTGGCATTTGCAGCAATCAGTATTTTCATTGTGTTTTTCCAGAATTTATTCTTCAGCAAAATTTAGTATTACTTGCTTAGAAATGTTGGCAGTAGTAGTAGCTGTTAAGTTATGGTGTTTAGATTGAAGAAAAAGAAAATTGGGTGGTAAATTGTGAACAATCTCAGTGTATGTATATTGTTGAATACAGGGAAATCTAAAGTTGAATTTCTACAAAAATGTCTGCGTGAATTATGTTGGTAACCTCATTATATGAATTTCAATTAAAAGCAGTTCATATAAGAAGCACTGAAAATCTTGTGTCAGATTGTTTATCTAGGTGGCATTTGGATGAAAAGTATAGGTCAAATTTTATCAGCAAGTACCGTATACTTCTATGGAAAGTATCAACTCTTGATGATACTTTCTTTAAATTTCAATATGATTGGTAATTAATTTGTTTTTTCAGATTCAGAGATTAATACATTGAAAAAGGATCTCAGGCATTCTACAGCTTTTGCATTTGCAGTTGGTTCTAACAAGAATTGAAAATTCAATGGGAAAGTTTCATTCTTTTTTTTGCTTGTATTTCAATTTGTGTTTTTGCCAGCATCTACTAGTACTTTGAGGTTATATGCTCATTTCTTAGTAGGTCATTTAAGTCGGTAGACAGTATTAGAAATTACATCAGTGGTGTTAAACTCTTCATCTAATATTGGGTTATGATTAGATCATATAAATTCATATTTGTTGAATTTATCTTTAAGAGGCATCCAAAGACTAAATCCTCATCACATAAAAAGAGCTGAACCTATTACTTTAGATATTTTATTTTTCTATTCATAAAGTGGATTTTTTCAGTATCTTGATAACGTAGTTTATTGGTGTCTCTCTTCTTTTGCCTTTTCCTAGCTGACCAGAAAATCAAATCTGGTTCCTTCGTCTTCATCTAGATATTATAAAGGAAGGTTTCTTAATGCCAAACATGTGCATTTTTCATTGGTAATTATATTCTTGTACATTTCAATCTGTCTAAAAACGATTCAATTTGGGGAAAGAAAAATCATTGTCCACCTTGTTTAGATAAAGGACAAAAAGGATTATGTCCTGCTTTAGCATATGAGCGTTTTGATTAATCTTAATATATAGAAACAGTGTAATGAAGCATGTGGTTTTCCTTATCACATGATTATCTATTACATCTCTATATTACATGTTCCAAAAGAAATTGCGTCAAATGTATCTTTAATAGGTTGATAGACACTAAAAATTTTTTCCACACGCCATATCCTTAGAAGGGGTTTTGCAGAAACATTTAGCCTTTAAAATCTGACTTCCAACATGAACAATAAACAAATAAACTTGGTGAGTTGGAAAGTCAGAACGCATAAGCCTATCTTGAATTAATAGTCCTGATAACAGTTAATATCGATGTAAAATGTGAACCATGGAATGGTTAAGGTTATATTACAAGTTAGGAAAAAAAAAAAAAAAATAGAATCCAGGTGTCTACTTTAAACTATCTTACAGATATCACGGTCTACATCTGTCAGTATTCCAATAGCTAAAGAATATATGAGGGAATTAATCGGCTGAAGTGCATCCTTTTCCGGGGATTAATTTGAGTTGCAGATTAAAGGCAAAATAATTTGACAAATTTCAGTGCGCTGTGTTGTCTAAACCCTGTTACATTATTCATTGTAGGTACTAAGCGATATCCAAGTTTATTCAGCAGTATGAATCATAGTTTTTTTTAATTGATGTCCAGAAGTAAGAAAGGTTCTCAAAATCAATGGATTTTTTCAAGTAATCCTTCTAAACTTGGATAGAGATTTCCCATTGTAAAGTCCAAGGAGGCAATAAGGGGGTTTCACAGGACGCTTTGCAAAACTGCGAAACAATGTCATTGTAGATCCTACAGACCTTTAATAGTTGGTCTCCCTAGGCGAATCACCAAACGCCCAAAGGACCAGTTATTTGCAGTAGGAACCAACGGAGTTTACACATCTTCTAATTCTGGACAGGACGAGCGTGACAATCTTTTATTAAACAGTTGTGCTCTCGTTCTCCCAAAGAAATGCTATGTAATAAAATATTAATAGTCATAAGTAGCAATGTACTCTGGCATGGTCCTTCCACGGAAACTTAGTTGAGTTTGTAGAATATTATATATTACAAATGTGTTCTAGAATATGTCCCTTTTACAATTTTTGGTGACAACCTTTGACAAACAGTCACATCATACATGGGTTTAGTACCTGGGTAAGCAGTAGTCATGTTACTGTAGGGAGCTATTTTTGAAGAAGAGAATAACTCTTCAGAGCCGAGAACCGTGTAAAGCGACCCTGGAAGGGACTACCTGTTTCTTCTTTTGTCATAGATTTGTATACAGTTGCTATGAGTACAAACATATATATGTGTTAACTAAATTATATATTTGCTTAATACTATGTTGAATCTTAAATAGATCCACAGTTAGTATGTTAAAGTTCTTTTCATTAGTATATTTCAAAGTGATTGCCTTTGTATTAAGCTTTGAAATCATCCTTGTTTTTATGAGCTTTGCTATTGCCTTTAATTTGGCCTGGTTGGAGCCGATTTGATCTGTGTTCATTAAATTCTATATTCATGGCTCTGGAAATTAGTCATAATTATATCTGGTCCAATGAGCACTGTCTAACTTTTCAGACTCGATCATAGTATATTTCATCTGTTTTTTCTGTGTTTGAGATAACTTAATACATAACCTCTAAAGGATGAATGACATTGTAAAATGTGAATGAATAATAAATAGTATATACTATTTGCCTTCAATATTTCTCCCGGTCCTGCAGTCCTGTGTAAGCAAAATATAACATTAATCGAGTATCACATCAAAGAATCTAAACTCAGCAGCGCGAAAATCAGAGTGCAGGTGTGAACGAGATTTTTCCCACAGTGTACAATTTTCCCCAAGAGTTACACCTGTGTAACACACCTAGTTATTCTCAACTGTATTTTTGGCCACAAAGTAACCAACATTTATTTCGTATAATATTCACTTGTCAATATATACTCAATCACCAAAAACACTACTCAGGTAATCCATGTAATGATGATTTACAAGTAATAATAATCCAATAGTTAAACAACAGCGAAAAAGTCCAATTATCCACCGCTATCAGAACACACAGTACCACCACCGCCCCATTCATTTCATAATGTTTCAAATATTGATATAACACATGATACCAAAAGTTTAAGGTATTTTTGTAAAGTAGGAATCGTTAGATAAAATATCACTGCATAACACCAACATAAATCTAAAAAATGAGTAAGAAATCAGAATCTTATATATTATTAAGGTAAATGTTTTGCATACATCATGTATGAAGAGTATAAACGATATCGGTGAAAGATTCTCTCATTGTATCAATCCAAAAGATATATATAATAAATCTGCAAATGTACAAGCATTATTGACACAGTTATGACCTTTTCATATATTGCTTTTATCATATTTACCATTTTACTGCTATTTCCTCTTTTAATAATTTAGCAAATACCTATCATGATTAAAACAAACAAAATCCACCAAGTAGCCATGCTGAATAGGATATTTAATTAGGTCTTTAAAAGGTCATTAAGTTCATATATGGTATATTATTTATTACTTATTCATAGAGAAACGAAGGAGTGGTATGAAAACGTCTCCACGGGCTACATAGATTATACGAATTGAAGGAACTGTATAATTCCAAGTGCTTAAACTCTATCGGTTTATGTTAGTTTTCTTTAGGGATTTATTGTTTATCATTTAGTTATAAATTTAGATTCTGTTTGGAAACTCGATTTGGAGTTATCAATAAAGACATTAATATACTTTGCACACACATTTCAATTTATAATTTTAGCATGTTGACAGCCATGCCAGAAAAGCTGACCGTCAAGAGGTAAGAAATCTAATATTTCCGAATACATTTTATGAAATATATTATTTGGTAAGTAATCTAAAATTTCATTTGTTAATATAGACATTTGTTCAGAATAAATATTGTTATGGATGAAATATTTACAATTTAGTATAGTGGTCATTCTGTTGTTGCTGTATGGTTCAAAAAGTGCATATATTAGGTGTAAGATTGGAATGGAATTATAAAATATCATGCTGTGTATCTGTTATTTATACAATAAATATACCTAATTTATATACCTCAGTTTAAACGCAAGACATACATCATTTGTTGAAAATACAAATATTTATATAAAACATAAGCTTGTAATAATGATGAGTATGTATGGTGATATAGTCGATTTTCTGATTTCAGAGTACCTTAAAACAGAAAAAAATCTGTTCTGGTACACTAAATGAAATCAAAGTTCATATGGGATATCTGTCACTAAATGTTTTTTCCACGTTAAGTAACGTAGATATTTCTTTTATCAGCCTGTTACACAGTTTAAACTGCTTTAAGATGAAAAGGAATGTGGGAAAATATTGTGAATTTAGCCTGAATTCCACCGGTTGTTTTTAATGTTTTAAAGTGTAATAAATAATATAGAATACATTAATATCAAGACAACACATTACCAATTTATTTCAACAATTCATATGTAATGTAAAGGTCTTGAAAAGACTGAGACGTAGAATGTCACAAATAATATCACTCCAATACTTATACAATGCAACAGACAGCCCATCAAATGTCCTTGCCATTAAAGTACTTCCCACAACGATTATCTCCCATGTACAATTTATAAAGCAAAGCCTGCATGGAAAGTTGACATAATTATGTAAGCATGAAAGCGAAGAAGGTCTGTTTAATTTATTTGCAAATGGCTATGCTGACATTAATGATATAAGGATTTAGACAAGATGCCTTGGTTGTACGGTCAAAATACGGTCAGCTATTGTCTAGAGATAAATCCTCAGACCAAATTATGATGCATTGTAAATAGATGTACATTGAAAAAGTGCAAAGGTTTTTGATAAACCGCGCATATTACCACAATTAAAAAAGAATAAGATAGAGTGCCTTTATGATTAAGATTGTAGAAAATATTCTGACGCTTCATAAATGAATGTGAAAATCGATAGTCAAACAAAACCCTTAAAGGTCAAATATGCCACTAAAATGCTTTTTTTCTGTTTCTCAAAAGTTTTTACATTTGATAAACTTTTTAACTTTCAAAAAAAGTCAATCAATGAGCAGTTAAATGAACTTTTATTTTCTCCTTGAACTTTTCACAAATAGTTCAATTATAGAGATAAAGTGTTTTGTATGGAAGTCAAAATATTACTTGTTTACATTTTGCAAAAATTTATGACAGATTATTTCACATTTAATCATTATTTTCTTCAGATTAAAAGTATCTTACATACTCTGAACATTATAAAATTCACGTTTGCTCTTTCTAAAAAAGTAAAAAAAGTAAACTTATTATTTAATCATTCAAACCCAGTAAATATCTCAAATGCTTGAGAGACATCAGATAACTGACATCATATTTTAGGATACGCATTGTTCTTGTAAAGGTGGTCACGGCACATATGAAGTTTATAGGAAGGAGGTAAGCGCGCAATTTCTTTTCCGTTTTTGTTATTTCATCAATGTGTAACAAAATTATAGCAATCATATTTCACTACATATGACTTACGTACGAAATAAAGGAAATAATTTTAACTATTACTAGTATTTAATGACTAGTTTTTACCAAAAGAAAATTTTTTATTGTGAACTCGTGTGTACTCTGTTTGTGATGTCGATATTATAAGAATAGACCTTGTAACACTACGATTTTGCATAGTAATGGATGTCGCATGCGCATTTTGCGTAGGGCAAAAAACGCAATAATCATGTCTACAATTTATCATATTTAAATGCTTTCATAGACTGATTTCACGTTATGTCACCCAGAAAACAATAATCTTGAGATGACTCCAAGTTGTAAGTACTCAAAACATGAATTGACATTTATAACAGATATGCGAAAATATGCGGTACTAATAATTCAATGACAAAAAAAGCGCATATATAAAAAACCTCTGTTTAAGGTTTCATTCATTAGACTACTTTTTATCAGTAATTTAAATTTAACAAGCAGGATGTTTAAGATAAAACAATTATTTCCCCTATATTACATAATATTACACAATTTGTGTTGTTCACTTCCTTTGAATAAGAGGATTGGCAAGGTAGTAATAATCTAATTTAATTGTTTAACAGAATTACGCGTGACCGGTTGTTTGTTTCCAGCTGGTTTACAATATCATTCAACCGGGACGTTTAAGTACATTATGAAAATAGTAATTTAAGTAACTTTTACATACACCAATCTCATCAATGTTTATTGACTTTGTGAAGTGATAAAAAGTGTGACGTGCCTTTGCATGTGTTACGAGGAACCGGATAAAATGTTTGTTATTTCATTACCCATTTTGGAAAATTATTTAAATATACTTATGTCACTTATAAACTTTCTGTTAGAGATCACAGTCAAATTGAATAAATGTGAAAATCAAGTAAACCTAAAACTAAATAATTATTACCACGTGTTCTGACTTTTTATATGGACTATTTCAAGAAGGATTAAGTTGACCTCTTTATTTGCTAATAATACATATATTTCCACATTTTTTATAGTTATCTAAGTGTCAGGTCCGTGATCGTAAGGGGAGATTCTTAAACACTCATCTTTTCCATGCCTGTTTTTGGGAATCTTAGCGACAAACCTATAAAGGCATCTTTTTTTAAAGTTATTTTTATATAATTTTCTCCTTTTAACCTTAAACTAACTCGGAACTGTCTATGAACTCCTTCTACATTTTTATGTAGGACGATGGTCTTTTTTTGCCCTACGCAGATTGCGCATGCGCGAGAAAATACTATTTCTAATCGATTTTTTCAACGGACCGCGTCGTAAAAGGTCTATAATATTTGTTCTATTTTTACAGATTGTCGAAGTTTCCTGTAAGCGTCTGGTAGACTGTTGTCATTCCATTGCTTCATTACCTATGACCAATTTGATTATTCCTTTATTCAAAGGACCTTTCGAACAAAATGTAAGTTTACATAACGGTAAGGTATTTCCTCCGCTTTTGATGAAAATGAAATAAATCATCTACGTTATACACAAAGAAAGATTTTCTCATTGAATTGATCATAACCGACGACAGCATTTTATTTGGAATCATTAATTGACCATTAGTAAAATATTGTGAGATTCAAACATTTCATTTAATATTCATAAATAGAGTCTAAACATTTGATGTAAAGGTTAAAAAGTAGATATTCTAGACAATCTTGGAAGTCAATGTTAAAATTTTATTTTAGAAACAAGAGACACTAGCAATGTTAAACAGGCATATGATGAAAGTGATGGACGAGTTTATTTGTGAAATAAATAAGGTTCATGAATTGTAAGTATCTGGACTATGAATCTGTTTTTAGAAAAATTGTAGTTTTCATCTTTGTTTAATTCTATTTTAATACATTGTACTGTAGAATAAAAATATACATCTATATATATTGTTAGGAGAAATTTTCAGGTTTTTAATGATTGCAAACCCTAATGAAAATTCCAAATTTCAGATCATTTGGACTACTTTTATCTTTTACCTTAAAACTCTATTGGAAGCCCTAATTGCAGGGTTAAAAACGCCCTCTTACTATGTGAGAGGTCCGGTGTTTCATCCCGGTCAAGGAAAGGCAACTGATCTAGTCTGGGTTTTTTTCGGGATCTTTCTCAAGGCATTAGCCAAGACAAAATGTACATGAGTGATATTTCAATGCAAGTTAGAAACTCTGGCCAAACAAACTTCCTTAAATATAAAACTCACTGTTTTAGCAAAAAACTAGATTATGAAAGTGTTTTGAATTTTTCGAACTTGATTAAACATATATCTGAAGATTTATTTATTAAATTTTTAAAAGATTGCTTACATGCGATCGCTGGTTTTGGTTTAGTTGTTGGAAAAGATTTTTGAGTCTGTGAAAAGGGAAGTTTCTTACGCGCATGCATTTAGTTAAGATGAAAAAAATGTAAAAGCAATAATCAATTTTTACTTAAAGTCACTTTGTAAATTGTAAAGGTTCAAAATGAAAATGATAAAATAGAAAATTTCTACAAAAGGCGTATTTCATATAGAGAAATAATTCCTCTTAATGTGCCATGGTAAATGGAATTTAAATTCAGTGTAAGACAGAGTACGCGTGCAGCAATGCAGTACACCTCGAATGATGTACACATCTAACCGACTTTATAATATATTACTGGCGCACGAGAAAATCGTGCGTATCATATTCAATGATTTTCAATACAGTTTAATTTCGATTAACCTCGATTACTTTAACGTAGGATAAATATATTTACAGTTAATTTATCACTTATAGTGTCGTGTACTTGTAGCTTTAAAATGTTTGTAGAATCTTTGAAATCACCAAAACTTAATTTTGTACACACTTTTCTCGCCAAATTTATACAATCCACCGTTTAAACTATAATTATGCCCCCCCTTCGAAGAAGAGGGGGTATATTGTTTTGCTAATGTCGGTCTGTCTGTCTGTCGGTCCGTCGGTCTGTCCGTCGGTAGACCACATGGTTTCCGCTGATTATCTTGAAAACTATTTATCACAAAGTCTTCATATTTCACATAGTGATTGGTCATAACTAGTAGATGACCCCTATTGATTTTGGGGTCACTAGGTCAAAGGTCAAGGTCACAGGGGCCTTAAATGTCAAAATGGTTTCCGCTGATTATCTTGAAAAGTATTCATCACAAAGTCTTCATATTTCACATAGTGATTGGTCATAACTAGTAGATGACCCCTATTGATTTTGGGGTCACTAGGTCAAAGGTCACAGGGGCCTTAAATGTCAAAATGGTTTCCGCTGATTATCTTGAAAAGTATTCATCACAAAGTCTTCATATTTCACATAGTGATTGGTCATAACTAGTAGATGACCCCTATTGATTTTGGGGTCACTAGGTCAAAGGTCAAGGTCACAGGGGCCTTAAATGTCAAAATGGTTTCCGCTGATTATCTTGAAAAGTATTCATTACAAAGTCTTCATATTTCACCTAGTATTTGGTTATAACTAGCAGATGCCCCCTATCGATTTAGGGGTCATTAGGTCAAAGGTCAATGTCACATGGGCCTTAAATGTCAAAATGGTTTCCGCTGATTATCTTTAAAAGTATTCATCACAAACTCTTTATATTTCACAAAGTGGTGAATCATAACTAGTAGATGACCCGTATTGATTTTTGGGTCACTAGGTCAAAGTTCAAGGTCACAGGGGCTTTAAATGTCAAATGGTTTAAGCTGATTATCTTGAAAAGTATTCATCACAAAGTCTTCATATTTCACATAGTTATTTGTCATACTTGTAAACAAACCCTTTTGATTTTGGGATCACTATGTCAAGGATCAAGGTCACAGGGCCTTAAATGTCAGAATGGTTTCCGCGGATTTATCTTGAAAAGTATTAATCACAAAGTCTTCATGTTTCACATATTGATTGATCGTACGTGATAGATGACCCCTATTGATATTGGTGTCACTAGGTTAAACATTAATTAAGGTCACATTCAATCCTTGAATGGTAATATTATTTCCGCTTATTATGTTGGTTACTATTTATCACAAAGTGATTGGTCATAACCAACAGATAATCTGTATTGCTTTTGGGGTCACTAGATTAAAGGTCACAGGGGCCTTAAGTGTCAGAATGGTTTCCGCATATTATCTTGAAGATTTTTTATCACAAGTAAGTGAACCTATTGATTTTGGGGTGAGTAAGTCAAAGATAAAGTTCACAGGATTCTTGAATGTCAGTTTGGTTTCTGCTTATTATCTTGAAAACTATTCATCACAAAGTCTTCATTATTTTTCTTTTTTTCCATAATTGAACACTTCCATGTACCCATTTTTGGCAAGTTTCTGTAACAAAATTACCAATTATGTGAGTCAATGGCTAGAAAGGGGGGTATATGTGTCGTTCGACATTCTTGTTAATTGTTGTTCTTTGAAATTAGAGTACAGATGATTAATGATGATTTGCATCTGATTAACTAAGAGCTTTCGCCTTTGACAGGATTGAATATTTTCAAAATGAAGTTTACATATGCTTTCATGTGAAATAATGCCATCGTAAAATCAGTATAATACAACTGTCTCGTCACAACCATCATATTGTCTGTTCTCAAAACATTGAACTCCTAAGTCAGGATTTTTATCTTTTGGAAAAGTGTTTAGAATGCTTATATGGAAATCGGCTATATATATCTTCTATTCGGGAGCCATCCGAGTAGGCATTGAAAGTTGTTAAACAGCATTAGGTCATTGTTGTGTAGACAAATAAGTAAAAATACATTGTAAAATGTACAAGTTTAGCTTATTGTAGCTGACTGTATAGCTGACATGGTATAACTATGTCTACATGTATTTAAATATCGGGTATGACCAACTTCAGCATGAAGGACTGCTTGACATTGCTGACGCATAGAACGGGTCGGCTTTTGGAATGTTGTTCCATTCCTGTATCAAGGATGTGTAAGCTGACGTCTAACACGCTGATCCAAATTATCCCAAAGGTGTTTATTGGGATTTAAATAAGGGCGTTTGGCACGCCAGTCATAAATAAATGCAATGCTTTTTGCTGAGGAAATTCACAATTTCCCTAGCTGCACGGCTTGTGGCATTATCATGTTAAAAAAGAGTGATATTGATATTATTTTGAATCATGATAACATGCTTATCAATGATTAACCTCGATAGCGTTGGAAACAAAATTCCCTTCGAAAACTACGAGGTAAGTTCGAAAGCCATGTGCATTGTCTGCCCAGGCCAAGACAGAACTCCCACCCCAAAACGATCTCGTTCAAGTACGCAGCAGTCGGCAAAACGTTCATTTCTCCTACGATATATTCGAACCCTGTCATCAGTTAGATAAATATAAAACCTCAACTCGTCTGAGAAAAGATTGCTATTCCATTGTTGTCTAAGCTAACGTTGGAGTGTACGTTCCCAATTTTAACGCGATTAACGCGGTGACGTCGCCTCAAAACACAAGCAACGTATGGTCGACGTCCATTGTGTACAATTTGGGCAGTATACGGTTGTTATGTATCAGGGTGTTAGCAGCAGTAGCTATGGCACTTTGAAAGCGACTGCGCAGGTTGGTATTCCGAATATAAAGGTCTAGGGCAAGCGTCGTGTCGCGTACGCGGACGTCTACTACGTGGTCGATCTTCTGTCGAATAGCGCAAGGAGAACATCTAATATTCATGGCGACAGCATTCATCGTCATACCAGAATTAAGCATGCCAACGTTTTTTTAAATGATCACCTCCTTTTCTTTACTTCTCATGCAGTTATACAACTTTAAATGTCTTTGCAGCTGGCTCCTGAAGATATGATTCATGAACGTCAGACCGAAAAACAACTTCATTTCATAAAAATATTAAATTTAAAATCAGGGAACAGTCAAGGAGATGGTTGAGACTAGGCATTACAAATGCAAATGCTATCTAAAATTTACACAAGGCTTGTTCGAAAAGTTTACATAATCATTCAATATTGTTCAAACTTGGTATGTGAATATCTTCATTTGCAAGTATATGTCTTGAAATGGAAATAAAATCACCATTTTTACATAGAAAAACAGGTTTCCATAGCAACATGGTAATAAATACTCAGAGCAGTCTAGAAATTTTTATAAGCTAAAAAATATCATTGCCGAGTAAATTGTATTTCTCTTTGTATGGTTGAACACGTTGAGGTCAACATTGTCTGTTGGAGGGTCCATCAATGGATTAAAAAAATTCTAGGCACAAACGTTCATAAAAATGAGAAAATAAGACGACGTGTCGTGCGCATCACCCAGACGCCTACCACCAAGGTCAGGGACACTCTTGGTTCAACCATATTATTCCATATTTACATTTTGTATGATGAACAATATTTACTGATTGCGATGAAAAAGCTATGAAAGCTTTAGAGTATCTTCTCCAGTTGGAGGTGTCTGCTATAATGTATAGTTTCTGTCCGGTCCATAACTGTTTCATAAATCAAGGGATTTTGAAATTATTTGGCACACATGTTAACAATAATAATACCCCAATCTCAAAGGTCATACTAGAATGCCAAAGCTTAAGATGGGTTGTTTTAAGTTTTATTGTGTCCGGTCAATAGTTTTTCATCGTTTAAGGGATTTTGAAATTACTTAGCACAAATATTCACAATAATGGGACGACGCGTCATAAGCAACAGTGGGATCCCTACATTCGAGGTCAAGTTCACACTTGGAGGTCAATGCTTAACATTGTAGGATTTTGAAATAAATCGGCACAAATGTTAGCAAAAATGGGACGATGTGCCATGCGTAACACCCGGACCCCTACCTTAAGGTCAAGTT